AAAGCGACGTCACGTAAGGGGAGCACAGGAATGTCGACCGCTAAAAGACGAGGGGGTGAAAAGGGGCACCGCTTTGCTTGCTGACCCCCCAGGACCCTTCGCTGTGCCTTCCATGCTTTTTAACCCTTCCACAAGGTGTAGGCACTGGCACACTTTTCTCGTCCTTTCCCTTCCTATGTGCCTCTTGCAATTCCTTCCCAATTCACGCTTCCTACAGGATCAAAGCCGTTCACGCTGGGCCCTGGCTTCTGCCTCTCCCTGGCATGCCTTCTGCCCTTTTGCAACAGAGAAAAAGGAACACACACACACACACACACACACACGCAGACAAATCTTTGTGTAGTCACGCTTGCCATATTGATTTTGTTGACTGCCCCGCCCCCCAGTCCTCGCAGGCCCCTGAAATGGTGGCCCTGGACTGCCTCCTCGGCTGGTCTCAGAAGCTAAGCAGGGTCAGGCTAGTCCCAGCTTGGAAGAGAAAGCCGAACTGGGCGAGGTCACCAAGGGAGGAGGAGGAGGAGGAGGAGGAGGAGGGCATCTCATCTCCTCCAAGGGGAAACCCCCTTTCAGTAAAGCAGGTGGCTAAGTAAGTGAAGGATTGCAGCCTTAGTGCCCGGTCATTCCCTCTTCACGTTGCTCTGTCCTGTAGGGAGGGAAGTCCCATGGGCCCCTGCCTAGAACAGCAGCAGATGGTGAAGGGATTAAGCAGGACCACCCCCTCCCCCCCTCGCTCCCAACTGCCCAGAGAAGCGGAGCTTTTACAACAAGGCGGAATACGCTCTTCCTGGACAGGTAGGAACTGGAGGCTTCAGGAGCTCTTCCCCTGAAGGCCTCTCTTCCGGAGCCTCCTGGGTCTTGGGCCGTCCCTTGGAAGCCCAAGGCCGGAGTCAGGGGAGCATTAGGCTCAGTCCAGCTCTTTGGAACCCCTGGGGGGGGGGATGCCCACATTAGCTCGGTCCTGGCCTGGAAACTCATCTAATTGCAAGTTCAGGTTGCCTTCAAAAAAAGGGCCCATCGTTTTTTGCCCTGCTGGGATCCCTGCAATGGACCCTTGTCGATGATAGTTATGGGACTATCCCAGCCTGGCTCTGCTTCTCAGCATTAATCTACCGCTCGGCTAAAAAAAAGAGAAGGACATTCTCGACTACAAATATTAAAATAAATCTTTGGGAAAATATAACCCTCTTCCACATTACTTCCATCAGTTCCAAATAAGCGTTTCTACCACCATAAATGATATGTCTGCTATCCTGACCTCTGCCTGTAAAAGAGACAACCGACCTTCAGTTCCCACAAAGGAATTCCTTGTTGGAAAGGAAAACAAAGGGAGGCCGACTCCTGAAGTCAACCCACTTCTAAAACTCTGAGTATTCGACGTTTGAACAAGGCTCCAGCTTCTCATCGGCCCCCCCTGTGCAGGCTTCCGCCTCCCCCCCCCCCCCCGTGACCATGGGGGTGCAGGACCCTGAGTGCTCCCTAAGGTTGCCCTGGCTAAACATCACTCAGGCTCCGTACCAGGTAATTGCAAATATATCTGCAACTCTGCAGCCTCATTTTATCTATATTTACATTTTAAAAATACCAGCTTGGTTCAATATGCATCAGCCTTGGGAAAGTTTGGCTAAAAGTGCAGTCCGAACCCCTCTCCCCGTTCTTTCTTAATTCCAGTGCCTGCATGACAACACTGGGCAACAACCATCCTACAAGACCACACTGGCGCGCACCTGCCGGCGTCCAATGCTGCATTCCCTGCCTCTCTGCCACAGTGCAGTGTGCCACTTAAAGGTGGATGCTGCCACGGGGCCCACACCTCACAGTGGGGATATAATGCTGGGACTCACTTGTGGCTATAAAATGATATGTTGAAATAGCCTAGCCTGTTCTACTTTTCTCTCGATTTATCTATCCAGGGAAAAAAGGCAGATACTGCAGCTAGAAGCAGCAGGAACTCCTCCTATTGCTGGCCTCGATCGTTCAGCTGCTCTCTAAATCCCGGGATAAATCTTTACTTATTTATTTTATTTATTTATTTTTGTCAATTGCTTCCAAGATAATAATAGGTATAAGTAAAAACATAGTTATGAATACATGGATACGTATAAGAAAAGAAACAAAAGAAACAATAGGACAGGGACGGCAGGCACGTTAGTGCGCTTATGCACGCCCCCTACAGGCCTCTTAGGAAAGGGGGGAGGTCAATAGTGGACAGTCTAAGAGGTTAAAGTTTGGGGGGTTTGGCCATAAAGTCTATTGATGGCCAGAGGCAGCCAGCAGAACTAACGAGAGAGTCACAGACCTGGAGCTCAGTGCTTGGACTCCGATGCCCAGAGAGCACTAAACCCAGACTGGATGCCAGAGACAGAATTTCCTGGACAAAGTTCTCTACTCTCATCCTTGAAGTCCATTTGAATCACACCATCCTCTGAATCAGGATGACTCCGTCCAGGTGTGCCTGTCCTGCCCCCGAGGCCCCCGGATCAGGCCAACCTCAATGGATTCAGCCACCCATCCAACTTGATCGGACGGGTTGACTCCGTTTGCCATTTCAGTTCAGGTATTCAAACTGAAAGCAGGTCTCTGCCTCAGAATCTCTCTGCCTGCAGGGCTGCGTTGCCTAAACTCAAGCAAACCCTCTCGTTTCACAATGGGGGACCAAGCCCACCAGGGACTGTAACGCAAACCTGGCTGATGGGACTTTGGCAATGCCTTTAATCTAACCTTTAACTAACACACTGAGGGTTATCAATGGTGGAACCGTTCGTGTCGCATCTTGCTATAGGAAGCATGGATACCTGAAGTGGGCTGTTCCCAAGGCTCTGATCTGCATCTATCACCTGTGCAAAGGATCATACGAGCAAATGAGGCAAGCCAGGAAATCCAGAACTCCCGAGCCGTCCGTAAGGAAGGATCCAAAGAAGTTAAACGGGCAACCCGACAACGAAAAAGGGTGCATGAAAAAGCCGGCCTGGCTCCAGTCCTTCAGTCACGGCCTGAAGAGGCCCTGCAAACCTCTGTCTTTATGGCAGACATACAGCGGACGGCCTCAGGCCCAGAAAAGGGCCCATGGCATCCCGCTGAGATAAGGGGAGGGGCATCCCCAGGGCAAACGCCCCTGTGGGAGGCCCTGGGAGCCGGAGGGGCTTCGACGGAGGGCAGCTTTCAGCCCCCCTCACCCCACCCAGCAGGACAAGCCCTTCCAGCTCCATTAAAGTCCATCAAGAAGGTTGCTAAGCTGGCATCAATAGGGAGGAGGGGGAACCCCGAGACTCTGAGTTTTTTTCACAAAAAGGGGTGTTCCTGCTACTTTTGGAACCCGAAGGCCAATCTACCCCCTCAGCCGAACAAAAGGAAAAGCTCTCCAGATGAAAAGGAGCTGGAAGCTCCCTTCCGCCCCACTTCACAAGGCAACTGCCCAGGCTCCCCCCCCCCGCACTGCATTTTCCCTGGAGGCTCCGGCCTCCCTCTGGCCTCTCCTGCCCGGGCTGGGTGGGGGCCACAGTCCCTGCTCGACATTGCTGGCACGGAGAAGCTCCACCTCTTCACCCACAAAGGACATTTTCCTTCATTCCACAAATGGTGACATTTCCTTGAAACATCCGAATGGGAGGAAACCTTTTTCCTACTACAAGTCATCCCCCTTTCCCCCCCCCCCAGTCCCAGTACCTTCCCTTTCACGTGCTCTCCATTTTGTTTTCCTTTTTTTACTCTGCTGCTCCGTAGTTCTTTCTATTTTGTCACTTTCTTTTGCTCCCAACCCCTCCTCTCCACCGGGGACAAAACAACGAAAGGCTGGGGGTCGGCTGGGCCTTCCCCAACTGTCTGACACTTAAAAACCACCTGAAGCCACTCAAAAAATATGCAGAGGTTATGGGGGACTGAGGACTTTTGGACGCATCTGCCACGCAGGCCTGCCAGGGGAAAAGGCGAGGAGGATTCGGGTCAATTCCCAGGTGGGAATAAAGTTCCGGGGGGGGGGGAATACCTTAGAGCCCCTGCCCATGTTAAGTGGTGGGAACCTCCATTCCCAGCATTCCCCAGCCAGCACACACCTTTTCTGGAAGTGGAAGTCCCCACACCTGAAGGTTACCAGGGGTGAGGAAAGGGGCCGCTTTAGAGGACTGGCAAAAAGGTGGTTTTTTTCAAAGAGTTTGAAGAGAAGCAAAAAAGAAGCAGGGAAAAGATGCCCCACAGAAACAGGGGCCAGGAGGGCCACGTTCGTCCCACCGCAGGGCAAACCCAACGTTTGAGTGAACCAAAGCTTCTCTTGAGGGCTCTGGCCCCTCCTCTTCCTTCCGCACCTTCAGCTGTGCCCAAAGGGAGGGCAGCTGGCACAGGGAGACTAGCTCTGCCGGAGAACTTTCGTCAACAAAATACCTTTTTGATACGCAGGAACTTTGCCTCTGGACAGAATTTGTCCGGAACGGTATTGGGGGGGGGGGAGCCTACACCCCAGGGCCCTTTCCAACTCTGTTACTCTAAGGTAAAACCCGAATCCCCAGGCGTGAGTGGCCCGGTCAGTCATTTCAATTCAGCACCGATATTTGTCCTTTCCCGTTCCCCCCCCCCCTTTGAACCTAAGGCCTTTTGAGGCCTAAGAGTTCTCAGCCCCAGTGGGGCCGGTGAACAGTCCTCCCAAGACTTCACGGGGTTTCTCCTTTTCAGCTCCGGGTTTAACCGGTTGCATCTCCAATCAGGCCTCTGTTTCCAAGAACCCATTTCTCTGTAGGCACTTAGCCAAATATAGTAACAGCATGAATGTTGACTCAGAAGGAATAGTTCCATCGATTTTAATTGTATCTTCTCCCAAGTAATATTGCATCTTAAAAAATTAATAAAATTTAATTTCATTTAGAGTTGGGTCCCAAACATACAATAATAAAACTGAACATTTAACCATGAAGTCAGAACGTGATGTTCAAAAACACCAGCTCTGCCAAGAAAGCCCAGCCAACTCCGTGGCACTCGACGGGCAAACTCCGGCTGCGCCTGACGTCTCTTACCTTTGAGGGACGCTACTTGGGACAAGGCTTGGGCATAGGTCGCTGTATTGAGGAGGGTCCCTGGTAGACAGGAAGGGAAGAAGGATCCAGAAGGACCAACGGCTCTGCTGAGGCTGTAGTGGGGCAGGGGAGAGGGAAGAGGACAAGCAAGCAGTTCAAGAACGGATCAATTCACCCTCATCTCAGCGTTTCCCACCCGCCTTCAGGGACATCCGGAGCCTGGCAAGGGCTGCCTGCCCCGGACCAAGGTTGACCGTCACACCACTATGAGCCCCCTTTTCTAACGCAGCCACCGGCCAGTCTGGGTTGGAATATGTCGTTCCAAGGTGCTGGGGTTGACCTTTCAATGCGCCACGGCCCAGAACCCGAGTGCCTCCATTAGGCCCCCCCTTGGGCTTTACAGCCAACCATTCAGTTCTTCTCCGGGCCCCATTACTTCAGACAGGCAGGTCCTCGGCTTCAAGAGCAGAACTTTCAGGCAAGCTTCTTTCAAAGCCAAAGGGTAATTTACCAATCCCATTAAGCTTCTGGAAGATGATCTGCTAATTCCTCTCCCTTCGATTGCCTGTTGCTATTATTCTAGTGCTTAATTTTTCCAGCCTATTTATATTTTTGCAGAGGGATCTACTAAGAGGCTCCCTCTTTCTCTAGAGTGTGGGATGTGGACTGATGGGTTGAATTTACAGGAGGGCAGATTCCCGTCCTGAAATGTCCCGAAGAGCAGTTTCACTGCAGCACGGAAGAGCTAGAGAGGCATCTCCAAACTTGGCAACTTTAAACTTGTGGACTTCAACTCCCAGAATTCCCCGGTCAGCATTGTTCTGCGTCAACTCTGAAAGATGGAATTGTCTCTTTCATTCTGATCTCTTTTAGGTTATTAATTGTGAAAACCACAGCTTTTATGTTAGGACAACTACATGAGGCGTTGTGGCAGCTGCTTCTCTTGGCATCCATGTACTTTATGCGCAGTTGGCATCTTCCCATGGGGCAGAAAGTGTCCGCCCCATTTGTCCCCTTGGTGAGCCAGGTAGAAAAAGCCCACCAGATACGGAAAAGGCAGCAAACGCTGCCAGACAGAGAGAGAGAGAGGTGGGCACAGGCACTGCACAAAAGTTGAGACGGAAGTTGTGAGAAGCCCAGGTGAGGAGGGGCAGAAGCATCTGACTTAAGAAGGGGGGTTGGCAAGGAAAGTAAGGAAGCACCTGGCTGTTGTCAGGAGGTGAGCAACCGCAAGGCCAACAAGATTCAATTCAACTTTAAAAGAGGAGGAGGAGGAGGTTGCCGAGGGCTGGTCCTGCCTCCCCCTTTCCACCCATGAAGGAACACGGGAAGGCTGAGAAAGTACGACCAGCCTCCTCGATTTCTCCCCTCTGGGCATCCGCAAAGGATTCCAACACAAAGGGGCCGGCTGCCTTCTAGGAAGGCCAGCCGAGAGCCCACCCCAGGGGCTTGGAGCAAAGGCTCCTCCTGAGCACCCCCTCCACCCCACTTCTCCTTCCCTTTCTATCTAGGCCTCTCTTGGCATCCCTGCCTGCCTGCCCTTCTTCCCCCCTCTTGCCCCACAGAGAAGCAGGGAGGCTCTTTTCCGCTTCTTCTCTGTTCCCAGGAGCCAAGAGTTCCCAGGAGTTCCCTCTCCTCACGACTGTTTCCTACTTCGCCTGACCTTGTGTTGGAGCCACCTGGACATCTTCTTCTCTGTTTTAGGACAGGACTGTCCTACACGCCACCAATTCATTCGCCTCAGTTGGTGCCTCTGTGAGGTTTGGTTTGATGTTTGGGACGGAGGAAGACTCGGAGCCCCTTGGACAGCCCCCCCCCCCCCCCCCCGGCTCTCCTTTCCCCCCCCCCCCCCATGCCTGTGGTTCCTCCAGCGCTCAGCGGAGGAACCGGAAGCCAAAGCTTACTCACCTCTGCTGAACCTCCAGGTTCTCCTTCTTATTCCTAGGTTGATCCACGGGGGAGGGGGAGCTCAAATTTCTTCCGGGGGGTGTCACTTCTGTCCCGGCCTCCTTAGAGCCTTCTTGGTCAGAAGAGCCTCTCTCCGTTTTCCTCCATTTAGCTCTTCTGTTCTGGAACCAGACCTGAATCAGGTTGGGGAGAAGCACTGAGGATCCTTGTGGGAAACATTGAAAAAAAGCCCCTATAGGTGGACTTTTCTTCCTCTGACAATCTCCTAAGAAGGCGGAGCTTCTAGGAAAAGAACACCTTCACCTGCCCTAATCGTCTTCAAGAAATAGGAGAGAACCAACCGCATATATGCAAATGCCTGTGAGTATGTATCTACATATGCATCGATGCAATTGTAAGACCACCACGACCGCAAAATCATTTAAAATGTCTGCAAAAAGCAGGCTTAAATGTAGTTTGAATCCCTTGCACCCTGTCCATGCTGCTAAAAGGACCAGTCCTGCAAATCGGCGTGTGATTATTTTAAACGGAGAGTTTGGCTTAATTTGGTTGTGCTTTTATTGCGTTTATTAGTGGCAATTGGGCTTTCTTAGTTATGGGCCGAGGAAACCCACCATTTAAAAGATGATTACAGTGTGCTGAGTATCATTGTTCTTATTATCACTCCATTTTTATTTAGCCTGCTTTTAATTGCACGTATCAGCAAAGGCTGAATAATGATTTTATCTGCATTCCAAATTTAGGAGTTAAATGCAAAGCCAATTGCAGAGACTTCCTTGTGCCTTAATTGAATGAAGGTCACAGCTATAACAACATTTAATTGAGCTATTTTTCATTATCATATTTTAATGACTTTGCAATGACAGTTTGCCGGCTTCTGAAGAAAGGCCTGATGAAGTCGTTTATTTTCGTATTTAGTTTTTGTTTGACAACATCATCTTCGATTAAGGCAGGGTCTTTCAGCGCATTAATCCTGTTTGAATGAGGAGAGGGCAGGAGTGTAAACAGAGCGGCTGCTGCTTCTTCTCCGGGTGTCCCAGCATGAAAGCAGGCCGGGCCTCCATTGTCTGCCCGCATAAGACTCGGCAACCGGGCTAAACGCTATAATTGTCACCACCCCTATCTCGCCCTTGCACCTTTCAGGGAGAAGTTATGATCTTCCGAATGCTCCGTAATTGTCCCATTTATCTCAATTTGCAGCACAGTCTTTAGGCACCAATTGCTAAAATGGTGGGAGGGAAAACTTCAAACTGACATAGCTCCCATGTACTGGCAAAAGGGAGATTTCAACGTCCAAATAATAATAATAATAATAATCAGTTTAATTCCCCTGCACATGACCAGTGATTCATGTTCAGATTTAATAATCATGGTTGCGTAATCTGATTATGGAAGAAATAATTTGTTTACAATCCCCAATTTACTGCAGTGAATTCCATTATCTCTCCTCAGCCGTTGGGTTTTAAGAGAGACTAACATGGCCCAGGGGAAGGGGAGGCATGGTATTATATTTCCTACAATTAGATCTTTGCATAATCTTAACCCCAAGCACCTACATAAAAAGAAGACAGAAACAGCAGGCAGGGAAAGCCCCATAAATAACATATGTGGGCATTAGGAGGGAAAAAAAACCTTGGCTCTTGCTAAATAAGAGGCGGGTGAGCGCATGCGCACATGCAGATGTGGAGCTATTCAGCACCTGGTTCCCTCTTCCGAGGGGCCCCGCGTGCGCCCGGGGGGGGGGGAGAGAGAGAGAGAGAGAGAGAGAGAGAGAGAGGAGCCCAGGGGCCTCTTCAACTCCCTGGCCAGAGAGGAGAAGCCAAGGCACACCTTCCAGCTGCGGAAAAGGGAAAAGGGAAGCTGGTTCTCCGGGGGGGGGGGGGGCTGAGGGGGCTCCTTCACGCCCCAGCAGGCCGGTTAAAGGCAACTTTAGGCGCCTTAGGTGGCCCTAAGAAACCTGCCCGCTTCTCCTGCCACCTTCTTGCTGTTGGCTGCAGCTCCCTCCGCTGGTTTCCCTGAAGGGAGAACCATGCTGGGTACCCAGAGGCACCTGTGGGCTTCGTCCCTAGGAAGACACTGCTCCCCCCCCCACCTGCATGCATGAAACCATCACCTGCCCCCACCCCGCCTTGCTTGGCAGACCCTTGGAAAGACACTGGGGGGGGGCGCTTCTGTCCAGCCAGGTTTTCTGGGGGCGGGGGGCAGTCAGGAACCCACTTTTCCTCACAGGGCTTCCAGGGAAGGCAGCACACAAGCCCAGCCCCTGCGTGTGGCCCCAGGGCATCGCCAGGCTTTGCCCGCCCACGGAGGGCTCTGCAGAGGTGGGAGCCTTCGGAGAAGGCGGCCAGGGCAGGTATGAATGGGAGCGGCTTCTGCCTGCATCCAGGAGAGAAACAGCAGCTCCCCATCCAAGGGGGAGCCAGGCGGAGTTCGACCAGCTGCTTTCTGACCACATTTGGCTAAAGGTGGATCCATTGGAGCCCCTTTCCTGCCTTCTGACATCCAGAGAGGAGGAAAAGCAGGGAAACTCCGGGCAGGATTAAGAGAGAAACAGCACCGTTTTCTGGGTATGGGGGGAAAAAAAAGACCCCAAGGGAAGCCGAGGAGCCCCGGTGGGCCAGTGGAGCGGAGGGAGGGGACCGAAAGCTTCTTCCAGGCCGAGCGAAGCCAGAGAGCCTCAAGCCTCACGCGGCAAGAAACGCACCCGGAGCGGCTCCGGAGGGAAAGGCCTTCTCGGTCCCCGTTTCCTCCAGCTCAGGCCAAGGGCTGGTTCCCCCCCTTCGGTCACCCTCCCCGGAGAGCAGCTCAGGGGAGGGCCGGGGGGGCCCCCCCCCCCCCCCCCCCCCCCAGGCCGGGCAACGGCCGGGCGCTGAGGTAATTTAGTGCCTGAGAGACACGGACAAATTAGTGTCGAACATTATCTCTGCTTAATTATGAATGACCGATTAATCAACCTAATCTAATATTCCACATTATGTTGATGTTATTAAAGTGCATCGTGAAAATGACAGATCGGCTTCATTTCTTTTCTGCGGCCAAATGTGCCCGCGGATCCCCGCGCAGGCGGAGGCCGGGGCGCCGGTACCTGCACGCGGGCCTCGGTCAGGTTGATCTTCATGGCCAGCTCCTCGCGCGTGAAGACGTCCGGGTAGTGGGTCTGGGCGAAGACCGCCTCCAGCGCCTCCAGCTGCGGGGAGACAAGCAGCGCCGTCGGGCGGGGCTCCCGGGCGCCCCCCGACCCCCCCGGGCCCCGCGGGGAAGGACGGAGCGGGCCGGTACCTGCTGGAGCGTGAAGGTGGTCCGGTTCCGACGCTGCTTCCGCCGGAGGAAGCCGTCCTCGAAGTCCGCCGTGGAGGGCCCGCCGAAGGCCGTGGCACCTGGGCCGGGAGAAAGGCCGCTCAGAGGGAGGCGGGCGCCAGGCGCCTGCTCGCAGCAGCCCCGAGGGGGACCCAGGAGGCCTCCGACCCGGCAGGGAAGCCTCGCCTTTCGCCGCCGAGCTCCCGCGGACGGAGACGGAGCCCGAAAGAGGCGGCGGCGGCGAGCGAAGCTCCGGCCGCTCCTTCGGGCGAGGCGCGCTTGGCGCCCTTGGGAAGGGCCGGGCCAGGCAAGCGAGCTCGGCCGGGAAGGAAGCCGCAGCTCCGCGATTCCTTGCCGGGAGGCTCCGGCCCCGAGGGGGGCGGGCGGTCCTCGGCCAAAGGAGCCCCCTCCCCCGGCAGAGCCTGGGCGCTGGAGTCGGGTGGGGAGCGGCCCGAGGGAAGCCCCGGAAGGCCCGTCCAGGCCAGCGCAGGCCGAGGGGCTCCGGCCGCAGGGGAGCCGGCCTCTGGGCCGAGTTGCGAGGAAAGGCCCCGGGGGAGACCTGGAGATGCCCTGCGGGCCCTTCCGCGCCGCCCTTCGGCCTCGGTCGCCGCTTCCCGCGGGTTTCCTTCCCTTCCCCGTTACGCCCCTGCGAACCGGGTTTCTTCAGCCTCTTCCAGGGGACCCGACGGCCTTTCGGCCCCTCAGGCCAGGCAGCGGCCGCAGGAGCGGCGGGATTCTCGGGCTGCAACGGGGGAGGCGGGAGGCTGAGCTGCCCGGGAGGAGCGGCTGGGCTGGGCCCCAACGGAGGAAACCGCCCGCCTAGCTCCAGCCTCTGCGCCGCCTTCTGCCCGCGGGGCTCGCCGTGCCCCTCCCGGGCGAAACTTCTCCACCGACGCGGACGCCTCTCCGGAGACGGAGCGCTGCACCCCGGCGCCGCTTGCCTGCCCGGCCCTTCCCGGAGCCCCCGACGGCCTTTCCGACGGCGAGCCTTGGAGGAGCGGGCGCTGGGAGGGGGGTGCCTGGCCCCGGTGGCCCCGCCGCCCTGCTCTCCCTCCCCCGCCAGGCCTGGTGATTGGAAGCGTTGGCCAGCCTGCCCCAGGCCGCCTCCCGCTGCCGCCGCCGCCGCCGCCACGAGAAGGGCGGCGGGGCCGGCCTTTGTGCCGCGGGAAGCCCCCTGCCCTCCTCGGGCTCTTCCCCGCCTGGCCCAGAGGGGCAGATTGAGGGCGCCCCCGGCCAGCCCGCCCAGCGCCAAGGCCAACGCCAACGCCGCCTCCCCATTACAGGCGAAGCGGGAGCATCTGGGCGGCAGGAGGCGGCCGCAGCCTCCGGGCTTGGCCTCCCAAGCGCCCGCGCGCGGCTCTCCGACTGCGGCGGAAGCAGGTGGGCCGCTCCCGGCCAGACACAAGCGAGGCCGGGCCGGAGCGGCAGGCGAGCTTTCCCAACGGCCAAGCCGCCCTCGGCCCAAGCGCTCGCTTTTCCTCGCCGGCCGAGGCTGAGCGCAGGGCCGGCCCAGGGAGCCCGGCTGCCGGCCGGGGAGCTTCGCCCGGCCGGCCGCGAAAGTTGCGCGCCTACTTACGGTTGGGCTGCGCGCGGACACTCACCTTCCAGCGGCGGGGGACAATGGAAGTAGAACATGCCGGGCCGGGTGGGCGCTGCAGGCGGCGGCGGCGGCCGGAGCGGCTGGAGCTGCGGAACAAACGAGGGAGGTTGGCCCGACGGGACGGCGCCGCTTCTTGCGGGCCGGGCTCGCTCGGCAAGGCGGACCCCGCCGGCAGCAGAGGGCGGCCTGTTCCCGCAGCTGCTCGCCCCTCGCGCCCGCTCCGCCTCGGCTCCGCCGGGCCCGCGTTCCGGAGAAAGGGGCCCGACAGCCGAAGCAGGGCAAAGCCTCGGCCTCCCTCGCCCCGACGGCTCCTCCAGCCTGCCCGGGATCAGCTGCACTGAGCAGTCCGAGGCGCCGCCCATCCGGCTTCAGCCCTCCCAGCGGAGGCTCTCCAAGAGCGGAGGCCGGGCAAGCGCTTCCTCCTCTCGCAGAGCTCCCCCCGCCGCCTCCACCCCCCCCAGCCGCGCCCCGGCCTCGTGGCCGAGCGCGACTCTCCTGCAGCGGCCTGAGCAAGGGCGCCCAGCCCCGTTGGCGCCGCTGGATGCAGCTAAGGCGGCGACCCGGGCAAAAGGCCCCACTAACCGGCGCGGAGAGGCGCGGCGGCAGCTGCCGGCGTCGGGGCAGCCGCGGGCCTTGGCGGAGCCGTGCCAACGGGCAGCTGCGAAGCTCTCTCCAGCCCGCTCAGCCTCCCCGCACTCGCTTTTATAATCTCACGCGTAATTGGCCTTAATCTGATTATTGCCGGCGCTGCGCGGAGTGAGGAACTTGGATAGGTCTAGTGGGCCTTCCCAATGACCCACGTGGTGCGTGGCGGGGGGGGAACCGACGTCATGTCTCAGTCAGCACCCCGAGCGCCAGCCGTGGGAGGGAGGGAGGGAGGGAGGCCAACTCCGCCGCCCCATCCTAGCCCAGGCCTCTTCGAGGCTCCAGGGCCCGCGGGTCCCTCCCGGCCCGGCCCCACCTCTTTCCTGGCGGGGGTCGGCGATGGCACTTGTGCTTGGCTGGCGCGCTCCTTCCCGGGAGCGCTAATGGGCCATTCGGAGGGCTTTCCAGGAGCCGCCTCGCCTTTCCGTGGCGAGGTTTGATTTTGTTCGCAGCGAGGGGTCTCCGGATTGAAGCGCGCTTCCCGTCTGCAAATGAGAGGCGGTGGGACCCTCCGCAATTACTTTTAAAACGCATTGGAGACTCGGCGGCGAGAGGGATGGCTCAACCCCGAAGCCTGGGTGAAAATGAGGCTGGGAAGCCTCCAGCTGAACATACGAATTCGGGGGCCGCCGGATTGGATGAGAAGACATCAAACGGAAGAGGGGGGAAGGGGATGGGGGCATAATAGGCTCCATAAAAGCGCACACCAAGATAACGGCTGCTGATGGCCCCCGCCCTATTAAGCGCTTCCCTGGCATAAAGCCTTTACGACGTGAAAGGGGGAATGTAATGATATTTGGGTTATTAAATGCATGTAATTAATTTATGCACCACTGAAAATAAAGTTGGTTTTTTGACCCTCTCAAGATGCATTAGAGTAGACGATGCTCGTCAAACAACTGTTGATAAATGTATCTGACTATCCTTTTGGATTGGGAACAAGCCCCATTCGGAAAAGTTCTACAAGCGAGACGTGCCGCAAAAAACGGGTTTCTTGGAACAGGATTGAAAGGAGGAGGAGAAAGAAAGAAAGAAAGAAAGAAAGAAAGAAAGAAAG